CCCCCCCCCCCGACACCCTTTTCCCTACCGCCCGTCGTCGCGGGCTGGGTGGGGCCTGGGCGCCTGGGGGTGCTGCAGCCGTTGGCCCCGCCCCCTGCCGCGGGGCGGGGCGGGGCGGGGCGGGGGGCCCTGCGGAGTGGGCCGTCCGGTAAGAGCGGTGCGCGGGGGTGGGGGAAGCGCTGTAGTGAGCGAGTCAGTGGGCGAGGTGTCGCTGGGCGGGGGAAGCCTCGTTTTCTGCGCCGCTGGGCAGGCGCTGGGGCTCGGGCTTGGGCTCCTCGGGCGTTGCTGCTGCGCTGGGCGTAGGAGGCTCTGGCGCGGTGTCCCGCATAAGTGCGCACCTGGCTGCCTGCGCGGCCCCGCTATAGCTGCGTGGAGCGTTTCCCGGGGGACGGTGGGGACCGGTCTCCCTTTACTGCGTGCTTTGGCTGCACAATGTAGGGCCCGCCGGTTGGATGTGCCCTAAGCCCCTCCTGGAAATCTCCCTTGATAAGGGAGGCCCTTGGGGACTCCCCAGCTGATTTTTTGGGGCAAATAAAAAGGAAACAGGAAGGGGGGTGAGGTCCTGGATTCCTGAGGGACCAAAAGAGGGCACAGAGCAGAGCAGACCGACAGCAACCGCTGCCTCCTGAAGGAGGGGAGGGAGCCTGTGGATGCTGACCAACAGGTAAAACTGCGCAGAGACCTAAGCGGAGGAGCAACAGGCAGACAGCCCCATGCTCGCCTACGTTCTCCTGACCAGAGCCTCTTTCCCAGCCTTGCAGCTGACCAGCATGGCCAGGGCTCAGAGGAAGCTGATCAGGAGGGTCCCGGGGCTTGGAGGGGCCACAGCTGGGGAATAAATAACAAAAAGGTGCAGGAAGAAGGGCAGCCAGGACCACAGCAATAACATGTATTGGGGGCCTCGGACAAAGTCGCCTTTGGAAAAGCTGCCGCGTTGCTGTCTTCCTTGACTCACCAGGACTGGTTCCATGCTGCCTGCAGTGTTAAAACATGCAAACATTTCCTTTTAACGCAGATAGCGCTGGAGCAACATTGTAGGCAGGATGGTCCAGAAATGACAGCAGAGGCAAGGCTTTCCTAGGGCACTGTCTTTTATTGGGCCATCTCTGTAGTTGGGAGAGAGTTTAGGCGAGCTTGAGAATGCAAGACATTTGTTCTCTTAGGTCTGATTGTGGCGAGCTAGGCTCAGCACCACATGTGAAATACAAGAAAAATTGTGCTTGGCTTTAGTAAAACACACCTGTTCAGTAGGGTTCAGACTAAGTCAGTCCAGGTATGGGTATGCTTTCTCAATAATCCATTTACTCTGTGTTTTGAAAACAATAGTATGCTATGTTTAGCTCATGTTTGGACCTGAAGAAAAACATCTTGCATCTGAAAGCTTGTCTTTCTCTCAACTACAGAGGTGGTGCAATAAAAGATAGCACCCTAAGAAATCAGAGAATCAGAAAATGTGGGTTGGGAGGGACCTCAGGAGATCACATCTAGTCCAACGCCCTGCTTAAAGCAGGACCATCCCCAATGAGATCATCCCAGCCAAGGCTTTGTCTAGCTGGGTCTTAAAAACCTCCAAGGATGGAGATTCCACCACCTCTCAGTAGCCTGTTCCACTACCCTCCAGGGGGAGAGTCCTTATTAATATCTAACCTAAACCTCCTTTGCTGCAACTTGAGACAGTTTCTCCTTCCCCTGTCATAATTTCTGAACCATCCTTGCTACAACATTGCTCATGCACTACCTGCATAAGAGGGAATTTTTGTATAGTTTAACATTTCCATTTTTTTGCACGTTCGTGGCACACGTCATTTGTACTGAGATGGGCGTAACCTAGAATGTTCAGCTGTATGGTTCAGCAGGCTTCCCAGGGAGCTCACCGGCCCAGGCAAGTTCAGTTAAATGTGGGAAACTGAGAACAGGAACACAGTGTTAGGTAGGCCTTATGTAATCTGATTTGTTACTCTGCTTGAAAAAGGCCCAATTGTTTAAAAACTTCCATTAACAGTTTGTTTATTTTTACTTTACTGATTTTATTTATATGTCTTTTGGTCTCAGAAGTTGAAAACCAAGACTTAGTAACTACATGAAGCCAAATATTCACTTGGTTATTTAATAATAATAACATACACAATGATGTTTTGTTCTCCAAGGTCTTAGCATCAGAAGTGGAACACAAGTAAAATTGTTTTTGGCTTCAATACAATACTTCTGTTAAGTAGAGTTCAGATGAAGTAATTCCAAATATGTTGTTCTTTTCAATGATCCATTAACTCTGTGTAAAAAATAATAATCATAATAATAAAAATAAATATAAATGATATATTATCTTATAACATTTGTGTAAAGTGTCATTGTTGGTTAGTAAGACTACTGGGGGGTTTCCATTGCCAACACAAATCCCTCTAAGCGTAATTTAACAACCAAATCAAACTGCGTATTACATAACTTCTTGAAAAGTTTCACTTAGTCTTACAGTTAAGATGACTGCTAAGGCACAAAGGAAGAATGGGTCCTCTTGATATTCTGTTAGCTAAAAAATAGGAACTGCAAAAGCAGTAATTTTATATTGGGACTGTTGTAGTCCCTGTATCCTCTTAAGTCTGCTTTACTTGCCCTTTATAAAGTGTCTGTGATATAAAGGTTAAGAAAATCGTTTATTTTTACTGACTTTTCATTTTGTCCAATATTTGAATGCTTGGTGATTGCCGCAAAGGAAGAGCTAGGGATCCATCTAGTCTAGTGACCTTTCTCTGACAGCAGCCAATGCCAGATATTTTGGAGTAGAGGTTTCAAATTCTTTGAGGGCTGGACCCATCCTGGGCACAAAGAAGACCCTGAGCATTCAGCAGCATCTCTGGTTGCAACCCTAAGCATGCAGCCACAGCTCCAGCTCTGACTCAAAGCACAAGGCCAGGGAGATAGGACTGTGGCAGTAGCAACAGGTGACACAACAAGAGGGTTACTGGGCCTGTGTCAGCCTTTGCTTACTCTCCTGCTACCAGTCACCTTGTCTACCAGAGCCTGAGGGCCTGGATTCTGCAACAGGTCACTGTTTCCTCTTCCTTCCCGCAGCCATGCTTCCTAGTGGCCCACCAGTAGTCAGGCAGATCAGGTAAGAGGAGCTCTACAGGACATATGTTTAATATTTCCTGTTTTAGAAGAAGTTAGAAGACCTACTGCAATAAATAGTTTTCAGAGAACTGGATCAGACTCTTCCTTCTAAAGCTCCAATAATTAAATGTTAGCTTCTTCCCTGATTTATGACTTGTTGATATTTCTTTTGAACTCTTGGGTTTGGTGTTTGTTTGTTTAGGGTTTTTTTCCCTTTTTTGCAGTTGGTTGATTTATTTAGTAGTTACTGCAATAACTATGGGTATTCTTATCATCTGTGTACAAATGGCCAGCATCATTTTTTTTCAGTTCTCTTAAACTCCTGATTTCAATTATATCCCTGTGGCAAGGAGTTGCATTGTATAAGTATTTTCTGATGCTAGTTTTGTGGGTGCCACATGTTTTTAAAGGGACAAAATCAATTTGAAAACTTCATCTAAAATTTTTGATCCTACTCTTAACTCTAACATCTAGTATTACTAGACCTGTTGGAAGTTTGTGTTGAAAAACATTTTTGCTGTATCTCTTTGTTTATTTTCTGAATTTGTTAGTACTGTGTTTTTTACAGTCAGTTTTATTCTTCCCCTTGTACAGTCAGTTTCTGTCTTGCTGAAAGGACCACTATAAACATCAGGAGGAAAATTTGAAGAATAGGATTTTTTTTATGTATAAACTGGATTTATAGAGAGGATACATTATCAAATTAATTAACTACTAACTTCTAAAACTATTTGTATTTACAGTTTTTTCTTTGTATGAAGCCATATCTTTTGTTGTGGATTTCTTGTTTATTTTTATTGTTAGTTAATCTTAAATTGAAAGCTAGTTTCTATAAGGACACAAAATCATGGTTTCCAAACATTTTGGAGTAATGGGTTGTTGTCATCCCTCAGTTTCTTGGAGACTCCATCTGTCCTTATCAGACTTTTATTTGAAGAGAGATAATGGGTCTGGTGCAATCAGTGAATCGGTTACCAGGCCTTGCAGACCACAATTAGGGAATCTCTTCCATAAAGAATTAAAAAGGGAATACATTGTCATTAAATATCATTCTTTTGTATGTTTCTTTAAGTGAGTCAGTGGATGTCTGAAAGTTGACTTGAGCATAAGCATTGAGATGTTTGGCCATTTGAGAACTGTGAGGAGGTAAGGTCATTTGCCAGATAAATCCAGTGTTAAAAAAATGCCTGTTTGTGACTTGAGTTTGTATAATGATGATGATTGCTTTTGTATTTAATACTACCATTTATTTTTTTTTTTGGCTCAGCCAGTAGGTTATAGGACATTTCACACAATTATAATTGCAATTAAGGGTTCTAAAAGAACTTGCAATTGTGCAGTGGGTAAGAGAGTAGTGGACACAAGGGAAACAAAACAAAGTTTTGACAATTTGTTTGTTGACACAACGGTTTGTTGTGTGGAAGAAAGCAGCATGCCTAAGCTAAAAGAAAATAATTAAATGTTACTGAACTAAAAGCCAGCACTTCAGAAAGAGCAAATATAGCAAGAATAAAGTGACCTGTTTTTAACAGTTTTCCAACCCACAAGAAAATGTTAAATTTCATAGTAGTAGTATACCCCTTCTTTCAGGAATCAGTAAACTAGTCTGTCCTTCAACCCTATTGCATAATATCTTGTCATAGAGATTGTATTTCATAATATCTTTCACAATGCTCAGACTGTCCTTCACTGAGCAGTAATGACCTTGTTTTTGGTTATGAATCCCCCGTCTCCTTATCTTCCTTGATCTGAGTCCAATTCCTGGAACAAACAATTTCTCCTTGAACAAGACACCTTCTTAAAATTTTTCTTTCCTAAATTCATTATAGTTCTGTCTTTATTTTGTTCCTTTGTTCCAGTCTCAGGTCTGCCTTTCACTTTTATGTGTTTATCCTTCTGTCATGCCAGCTAATTTTGGCCTGCGAGTGTTCTCTTTTTGATCTAGTTCAGAATAGATTTTTGGCTAGAATCCCGAGCCTGCATCTTGCAATCATGAGATTATTACTTTGATAGGAAACAAAACAACTGAAGATGGCCCTATAATTCATGTTTACTCATTAAGCTAGTGGACAGAAGTTATTACCATGTTCCAAAGTAGGCAGTCAGCTTTATTGGAAAAACTTGCATATTTCCCAGAAATAAGTGTGATAGATGGGAACAGGGAGCAGTAAAGAGCAGTTTGCATAAGCTCCTTGCTGCACTCACCAGTTAGGAAGGAGTATAGTGCTGATGTGGAATTTCATTGTAGGTTATCTTTTAAGGTCTCATAGGTTTCCAGCTGGTGGGTATCTGATTAAATGTGATTTCTGGTTACTGGAAGCAAAACGTTTTCTCTCCTTTTGGCTTCCACCTGCTTCCTTTCAGCAAAGGAAGTGTGTAGCAGGAAGGATTTTTTATTTTTCAGTTTTTGGAGTCTTAGTACTTTGTGTCCCTATGTCTGAGTTCTGATACAGAACTTAATAAAGCATATATTAAAGACTCCATCATATTACAGTCTGATTCCCTTCTTTGTTTCCTCCAAGCAAATGGAATTAGCCTCAGTATTTTGCCTCATGGATAACTCCAGAGCCTTCCCATAGTTCAGAGATAATACTAGCAACAAGAGTTATAGCATGAAATCAATGTAGTCCTTCACCCTTTCCTTACTGTGATGTCCTGGGTAGCAGCAATTAAGCTGACCAGACTTGATAGTTTTGGTCTGCTGCTTCACAAAACAACATGCATAAGAGGTGATCAAGATGTCTGTCAATACAAAACAACGTTTCTTTGATCTGGACTTGTTTCTCATTTTTACTGTTGGTTTTTAAAACCAGAAGGACCTGGAGTTTAGTCATTTGTTATAAATGAGAAGTATACATTCCTCAAAGAAATTGATGGCATAGGTTATAACAGACATCATCTCTGGAGCAGGATCAGCTGTGTACAGATGTATCCTGGCATAGCTCATCTGGTTCACTGGGCTCCCCAGATGTTGCCTGTTGTCCCACAGGATGGGCCCCCTGCTCCTCCTGGGACTTCAGGGGTCTGATCCTGTGGGATGACTGCAAATGGAGGAACCCCAGCAGAGGATTCCCCGGGCACTCCTATCCCATTGCCATGCCCTAACTTGGGGTGCATCTCTGCAGATTCCTACAGGGTAATCTCTAGGGCACGGCGGATTGGGCCCCTGAAGGGCCAGGAGCCACCTGCCCAGGGCAGCTGGAGCCTGTAAGCAGCTCTGGGTTGCTCATACTCTTCCGCTGTAAGGCGAACAGAGGAATGCAGCAAAAAAGCAGCAAAAATGTTTACCCCTTGTCATGGCCACAATTTTGGACATTTGTGGTCTGACAAAGAGCATGGATGTGTTTGCTTGGACTTTGTGCCATTATAAAAAATTTTATGGTGGCAAAAAAGTGACTTCTGTTTATAGCACAGCCCACCTTCCTTTGTCAAGGAAAGCTTTCTGCTTGTCGTGGGCAAATGGATTTTTTTTTCAAGCCCTGCTAATTCATTTTTGTTTTAGTAAAGGATGGGTGAATGTCAGCCTCAGTTGCTGTTACATTTCTAACTAAAGGAATAGAAATACAGACAAGAAGATAAGGTAAGGGTCATTATCTCAACCTAAGAACTTTTAACCCTCATTTTTAAGAAGTTGTTGAAAATAAAATTAAAAGTGCATATTAAGCTCTGAGATTGGACAATACAATCAGAATTTTAATACTGGTGGATAGAAGTTCAATTACATGACTGAATCTGCCAAATGGTGCAGTGTTTGGAGGTTCTAACTATTATGAGTATATGAACAATATAATTTTAATCTGACACTTCTCTTCGCAAAATCATTAAGGAAAAAAAAAAGATATGTTTCCTGAATACTGAACTGGGTAGCTAGCTCTATATTGTGCTGTTTTTTTCCCCTTATTTAATTTTTTGATAATATGCACATTTGCAGATGTCTCAGCTTGTAAAAGAGTTTGTGGGGAATTGTGTTTTTGATTTATGGTTGGCTTTACTAGCCCTTTCCCCTTTTATACGAATTTGAATTAACTGAGATTTACCACAGTATTCATTTGCAAAGGCATTTTGCATGTGCAGTAAATGTTGATTGATCTTCCTTTTACTTGCCTTGCAAAATTGTCATGAAAATTTAACAACCCAGGCCAAAAATAATCTGTTAGGCGACTTCTGCCATTATAGTAATGGCAGACAAAAAAATTAATGTGCCATCTATTCCTCAGTAAAATTCTTCACCCAAAGAAATCGCCTGAATATAATTTTATCATGGTATCTTCTTAATTAGTTTTTATATAATCATCACTTTTATGTGAAGTATGCAACTTTGTTCTTATTCTTTATGTATTTACATGTCTTAGTTCAGTTAGCTTCTGGCTATTCTGTACCTGTGTCCGGTATTTTGAAGTGCAGTTTAATGAGAGTATATATAAAGTTAAAACAATATGGTACTGATTTACAAACCTGTACTCTGCTTCTTAGGTTTAAACCAATTGTGAATGTTGATCAAAGAGACAGTGATTTGCAGTGCTAAATTAATTAGAACATTATGAAATCAATTCAAAAGAAGAAATGGTATTACAAAATTATCACTTATTCCACAACTTTGTTTTTATGTCTGCTAGCCTTGATACTTAATACACTAACTCAGATAGCAAACTTTGAACCATGGTTAGAAAATTTAGTGATTCTTTATCCAGAATGTGCTTTTTCCTCCTGTGTGTCTTTTCTGTTATGCAAATCTGCTTTCTCCCAGTTCCCAAATGTTGCCAGAACTTGTCCCTACTTCTACTCCCCTTCCTGACAGTCTTCTGGAGAGATCAGTGTGATATGGTCTTATGACTTTTTAGGTTGGGAAACTAAACATTGTTACCTGCTGTTGCAACTAGTTTCTTTTTACATCAGTTAAAAATTATGATTCTGATGTTTCAGCTCTTACTCTCTCCATTCTTCCTTCCATTGGCCTACTTCTTGCCCTCTTAGTCTTGAAAATTCTCCTTTAACTTTACCTAATTGAAGTTTGTTCCTTCACACTGGTGTTTAATTGAGCTAGGATTTCTTCATCCAAAAGCTCCCTCCACTCATATCTGACTTTAAACAATCCACCTATTACCAAAAGCAGGTCCCAATTAACATTTCCTTTCTTCCACTGCTTTCTTTCATCCTTCCTTTCCTCAATTTCAGATAACTTTTTTTTAATCTTTTACTCTGGTCTGTCTGCTTACATCATTTTTATCTTTAGGAAATACTCTGATTTCCAAAGCACACTAAGTTTGCTTAGGTTTAAAAAACAGGCAGGGGCATACAGCTCTTGGAAGAAAACATGGGTGGTTTGTCTTAGCTGAAGTATGATTTTTTTTTTTTTTAAACCAGCAATAATGCTTTTTTTGTTATCATATTCTTCATCCATGAATATCAAAGTGCTTTACAAGTACCCTGTTTTCAGCCTGGAGATTTGAAACTGTTGATGGACATTGCCTTTCAGAAAGAACAGTTCAAACACCAGAGGCAGATATGTCCAATTTAATTCAGTTGCTAGTATTTAATCACAGGAATTTGTGGGAGCTTTACATCTGAGCATATTTTAAGAAGAGAGAGAGAGAGACTGTTATCCCACTGTTTAAATGGTTCTAATCAGAGCCATTAGTAGCCAGCATCTCTGAAACACTATAACCTCATTCTGTTTAAATGGGATTTTGTAGATCCCAGGGGATGAAAATCCAGTGTTCAGGCTTCTGTTGCATCTTTTTAATGTGATATAGATTTTATATTGAGAGTGTTTACACCATTCTAGTTATATTTGTTTTATGTAATGTATATCACAGCTTTGTCATTTGGTGGATTACTTAATGCATAAAACTTCTGTTACTTTGTTAGGTTGTGTCTGGAGAAAATATTGCTGCAGTGGATTCTTCAAGCAAGAGCTTTGTCAGGGGCTGATGCCATCAATGCTCTCAGACCTTTCTATTTTGCTGTGCATCCAGATTTCTTTGGCCAGCATCCTAGAGAGAGGGTAAAAATGTTAATTTTTTAGAAGCGTTTTTTCTTGTATGTGGTTTATATGGGCATATTGTAGTTTTTACACTGTCAGGAATAACATTTTAACGTGATTGATGCTGGAAAGCAGAAAAGTAATAATTGTATTAAAATAGCATACTTCAGATTCTTTCTTCAGTCACTTATTCAATTTAATTTATACACAGTTTATCCTGAAACTCTCTAATCAGCCCTGTGTTATGCATCACTTCCTTTAACAATCAGGAGTCTTGCATTAATTTTAAATTTTGTGTTCCTACTATTTTTGACAGGCTTCCAGATTGGCGTCACTGGACAAATAATGACTTTTTTTACACTTTTGATCAACCTCTGTTCTTTAGCTGTTTTGGAAGCTGAAGTGTATAATGCAAAGCATTGTTGCATACTTTAATTTATCACATACATATTTTCACTGTTTATTCAGTGAAGACAATTGGTGCATTTCTGGTAGGCAACGAGTGTGTGTGTGTGTGTGTGTGTGTGTGTGTGTGTGGGTGTGTGTGTGTGTGTGTGTGTGGGTGTGTGTGTGTGTGTGTGTGTGGGTGTGTGTGTGTGTGTGTGTGTGGGTGTGTGTGTGTGTGTGTGTGTGGGTGTGTGTGTGTGTGTGTGTGTGGGTGTGTGTGTGTGTGTGTGTGTGGGTGTGTGTGTGTGTGTGTGTGTGGGTGTGTGTGTGTGTGTGTGTGTGGGTGTGTGTGTGTGTGTGTGTGTGGGTGTGTGTGTGTGTGTGTGTGTGGGTGTGTGTGTGTGTGTGTGTGTGGGTGTGTGTGTGTGTGTGTGTGTGTAATTATTGCCTATCAGAAATGCATTGTGTTTTGTTGCCATGGAAATGTTTCTTTTTTGATTATATTGAAATACCAAAATTTTTCATAACTATAGCATGTTGTTCTGATTAAAAGTCAACCCTGCTTTTGGAGGTTGAACTTTGAGGAAAACAGGTTTTCTCCCTGACTTTAAGTAGGTAACTACAAGTAAAGACCTTGAACTGCTGTTGCTCTTGTGAGATTCCCCTACTCCCCCCCACAGAAGAATCAGATAACCAAGGAAAGGAACCAAGGGGTTAAATGCACTAAAAATACTAAAATAAAAACCACGCTGAAACAAATTCTGACTTGGTATGTTTATTGCATGCACAAGAATAATGCAAGTACAAAAGTCAGAAATTTCAAGGATCTTATTACAGGTCAACCCCACGTATAGGTTGAGACAATTTTTTATGATTCTTTTGGAGGAATTAGAAAGGTGAGCTTATGATCAGAAGCTTTTGTGAAACTAATACTCTGCATATTTGTTTTAAAAGGAAGTTAATATGAAATAAGCCAACAAAAGTCAGTATTTACAACAGTTCTTAACTTTTTTCTTTGTTACAGGAAATCAATGAAAACTCTCTGAAGAGGCTAAATGGTTATTTAGAGAATATACAGAAACCAGGATATAAACCTTTTACACCAACTCGTCTCACATTTTACGTGAGAGAGAGAGAGCACAATTCTTCTAGTGTCCAAGAATCCCTCAGTCCTTCAGGTGACTTTTTTTTTTTTTTTTTGGTAACTTTTCTTGCTAAATGGCCTGAATCTAAGATGATTTTGAATTAAGGTGATTTCCCCAATGATAAGATTCTACACATGAAAAATTATAAATTTGTTATAATTTTCTGTCTGGAATCTAATTATTGGAGGGCCATATTAAATTCACCCCCTCTCTCCTCCCTCCCCACCCCACCCATTATGGAAAAGCAGTTAAAGGGAGCAAGTGGCAGGGAAAGCTATTGAAGGGGTGAGGGAAATTCATCTTGGAATCAAGTAAATATGATAAATGCTGAAAGACCTTCCCGCAGCTATGTGCTGTAACATTTTTCGCACTTTTACAGGGCTGTCTCTAATAAACTCTGTCCATTGTCAGTTGGCATTGGATGAGGCCTTAGAAGGCACCCCAAGTTACTGCGCATTTTCTATGAGCGAGAAAATTGGGTTAAATGCAACTAGGAGTTGGTTTCCAGTAATCTTAAAACAAAGTCAAAATGCACCTTGAAATATTTGCTCAGTCACAATGTTTTTAATTCCATTCTTCATCTCTGTAACTGAGCAATAGTTCAGTAATTTCCTTGTTATGTGTTCAAGGTGTACTATATAGAATAGACACATGTTATAGGAGAACTGATTGTCCTAGGACAGCAGCAGAACATTTTTAAGTAGAAGTTGCAGCATGCCCGAAGCATTAATAGATTGAGAAGAGAAGATGATTCGTTGTCAATTTTGGACTATTTGTAAATGTGATATTTTTTCTTTTTTACAATTTTGTCTCTAATGAAATGTTAAACTGTATTTGTTTTACTTCATGTTATGCTTCTTACTAGTTAAAAAAATTCTTGCATGAATAAAATTTACAAGACAAAACTCATTAATCTGCTGAGAGAGAATAGGGGTTTTCTTGAATCAGTTATTTCTAAGAATACTAGAGTTTTGTCGTGTTAGTAGTTGGAGTAGGGTGACTGTGAACTGGGGTGCCTGTAGTATTTCTTCCGATTCTGCCATTGACTTGTTTCATGACCTCAGACAAGTCATGGAGGCTCTGTCTATACACAGGAAATTTACTGATGTCAGCACCATCAAGCCTGTGGAAGTGGCGCGGCCATCTCCACACAGCTTTTGGGGTAGACTATTCAACACTACTGAGTGATAGTGCCAGATTGTTTATGCCAAAGCTAATTAAACTGACCATGCAAATGAGACCACGCTGCTTCTAGTTTAGGAGGCAGCCTGTCCAGAGTAGTGCAGTGTGTTTTGAGGGTACTTCTACGCAGTGTGGTAAGTTTGTAGTACGGATGTAGCCTTAGCCTCCCCACATACATGGGAAGAATTATGAAGTGTCTAAAAAATTATACTCTTAAGAGTGCAGAGTGCTCTTAAGCCTCTGATTCATTCTGTGCAAAATGCTTTTTGGTACAGAAGGTCTTTCAGACAAAACTGCCACAAGGCAACAAGTGTTTTGTGGCTTTTCTTTTTTGCAGCAATTGTAGATAAAGCACAGTTAAGCCAAGTAGTTTTCAACTCAGTTGTAAATATTAAAGCAGAGCATCAAAGGTATAGCCAGCGGAGCCCCATCATCCTGCTTCTGGGGCACGCAGCATGCATCACCAGACTGGCCCCACACACAGGGCCCCAAATATGTACTGCATGCAGTGCCTGCTCCAGCCACTCTACGAGCCAGTCTGCATTAGGTGCCTGCTTCACTCAGTCCAAGACAAGTGCTGCATACAGTACCTGCTCAGGCTGGTCCAGGACCGTCGCTGCACATGGCACCCACCCTGGCTGGTCTGTCCTGGACTAGCTGGAGCAAGTACTGTATGCATTGTGCATCCTGGCTATGCACCATGTATTCTAGAACAGGTGCCTCAGGCCCTTGTATTCCAACATGAGGGGGATGGTCTGTGGAGCCAGCTCCATGGAATTCATCGAGCCCATAGACCAGCCCTGTACCACTCATCTAGCCAGTGGGACCAGATGAGTTTGACATTCTTAGGTTAAACTATATTCTGGTGTCTTCTCTCATGAAACCAGTTTAGTCTGCTATACTTGTGTAATAAACTTTATACATAATTTTACTGTGAAATGTATCATTATACATGTGTGGTTTGCTTTAGTTTTGTAAGTTAAGAACGAAAGCTTTATATGCAATTAAGTTATCTAATTGTTTTGGGGATTACATTTCATAGGATTTCGAGCAGTCAGTTTTACTTTGCACACCAAGGACCTGCTAAGCACAGTATTAGATATTCTCAACTCCTGCAGCTTATCTACTGAACATGTTCAGAGTCTGAATGCTAGTGTGGACTCTCAACCCCACAAGGAAACAAAAGGGACATTCTACAGGCCAATCAAATGGGACAAGACTTATTATTCATTTACTGGATTCAAGGATCCTGAGGAAGAATTGGAGCAAGCCCAGAAAATGGAAACTACCCTAATGTATGTAAAGATTTTTATTTATTTAATTAACATTTATCATGGTAAAACGTCAGAAAAACAGAGATGTAAAAATTCCTGATAAATTGTTCTATATTTTATCATCCATAGTATGGTTCTGTATGGTACATCAGTATGCTGTATTTTCTTGCATACATTACCACCCTGGAATAAGATGCACATCTTATTTTTGAAAGGCAGAATGAGCAAAAGGTCTTTACTTGTGTCAAGTAACAGAGTACCAGCAGCTAAGAACCTGAGCCTGCTCATTGTTTTGCTCTCTGTGGATTGCTTTCTTACTTCACTTTTGCTTTCACTCAGCCAAAGATTATGCAACAGAAACTGATGTTGCTGTATTTCCTTGCATATAATGCACACTTCAATTTCTAGCAGCTGTTTTTTTCGGGGGGAAACAGTGTATGTAATAAAATATGGTAATAAAAGGGCACTCAAATGAGCTACTGAAATACCAAGGTGCCAGTAGGTAAAGAAACAGGCCATAGTGAGAGGTCATAGTTGGATGGCTTGTTTGCTATGGAATACCACTACTAACTCAACAGGGGGAGCAAAAGTTTTCAATTGTTGTAATTCACTTAATTACATTTTGGATCACACAATTATAAATTTGAATCTGTACAATCCAAACTGTCAATTTTTCACTATAGTGTAGGGCGCATAAAAAAGCTCACTTCCAGGATGTGTGCATTTATAAGATGTGTAAGAGTAAAAAAATATAGGGAGGTGGGGGTAGAATGTAATAAACATATATGAAAGGCATTCTTTGTCTTGTTTTTTCCAAGAAGTACTGAAAACAGGTTAGTACTCTTAAATGTCTTATAAATGCACACACCCTTTTCTGAGTGTGGTGATCCTGAGGTTTTTAAATCACTAGAATTAAAATACAAAGATCATTATACTTTTTCAAGTTTAGTCCTTTGATATAACCATGTGAAGTGTGTGCTACTTGTGTTCAGTGCAGAACTAATTAGATTGTAAGATCTGGGGCAGAGAGCACCTTTCGTTCTACAATAACGTGGCCTGCATACAGCAGTAGTTTGCTACTGAAAGCATAACTGAACATTGTATTCTGTATGGAACTGTACACTATTTTTACAAATGAGTTGTTTTTGACCATGTTATCATAGTTATTTTCAATATTGAGTATTGAATATTTGAATATTCACTATTCTTCAAATAATTTGACCATTCTTATTTTGATATATTTCCTTTGTTATCATTTATCTTGTAAAAATAAGAACCAGTAGTCATTTGGTTGTTTATAATGAAGATTTGGATCACTAATTTAAATATTGTGAAAAATAATCTATTAACTCAACTACACAACAAGGCTTTTTTCCAGCATGCTGACTGGGGAGGAAAAGCCTCTGGTCTTACCTTTGCATACAAGGAAACCACTTTAAATACATTGTCTATCTTTGATCCGCAGCTAAAAGCAGCATGTGGTCAGTAATATAAACTGACTATGGAGTACGTGGCCTATAGGCAAACGTGCTGATAGAAGCCTACTAGAAGGATAGTTTAGTCCAGCCTGTCTGAATAAAGATATATAGTAGTGTCCATTGAGTGCAGTCACTCTCAGTACTGACTCTTTTTTTCAAGTCATGGTGAGCTACCCTCTTGCATACATTTCAACTTCATTTCCACTTCCATAGCTGAGCACAGTACCTTTATTGCCCATTTCCAGTCATTTCTGTTTCTTCAGCAGCCTTGAGTGTCTGGCAAACATCACCAAACAGGACCAAAAACAGTTCACCTAGAATTCCTCTATGACCCCCTCTCTCAGCCTGTTGTACATAATTAGTGTGGCCCCACGTTCCATGAGATGAAGGTGGATCAGGTTGCCCTGTGCCTCACCTGCGCTGAGCTACCCCCCTCACTGTGCCCAGCCACCTTCCAGACTCCAAGTGCCTCCCTGGGGGTGCCTCACGTCTGGCCAACCCCCTTCCTGGAGCACACCTACTAGCCTAGAGGTAACACTGCCATCACCCAGGGTCTGGGCTGATTCTGGCTCTGTGCCCCCTGGGAAACGCAGGGTACTCGACCCACTTCAAGAACTTGGGGTGCTTCCGTCAGTCTGAAGCACAAATAGTGGTCTCCCTTAGCCAAACTAAGGGGACCCCAAGACATAATCTAGCTCCTCTCCCAATAAGTCTCCCATGCTAGATACAAAGGAGAACTTCATTGCCTACAAAAGGTGTAGGTTTGAAATAGGGTACAGCAATATCAGAGAAATCCCATAGAACAAACAAGGTGGCTGTGGGAATCCTTTGATCACGCATCTGAGTTACTGAAAGCCATATATCTAGTTAGATCCCAGGTAGCTTACGAGTATTATCCAGAGGCAGGTGGAGATTTCCTCTGGAGGCAGGCAGTTCACTGATCATGAGTTTCAAGAGAGAGAGCAAGTTTTAGATGGTCCAGCTTTTCTCTTTCTGAGTTTTCATCATGGCTACTGCCCCTCCTCCTGGGCAGTCCTTAACTTACATAGACCTTATGACCTCATTTACCTGGTCCAATGGAGGCCAGCACCTGTTGGCTGTCAGCCAACCAATTTGAAATGCATCACTGATCGCCAGGTAGACTAGCAGATTCTCTAGCCCCCTCCCAGTCAGGTTGGCATTGCTTAGAACAAGCCCCTCACCCAGGTATGTGATGCCAGTCATATAAGTAGAGGGAACAGGTTTCCCCCCTCCCTCAGGAATGTATCCAGCTCAGGGTCACATGAAGAGATGGGGCAGAGGAGTGACCGTGGTAACTAAATTGTCAGGTAGCAGAGTTTTGGAGAGAGACAAGGATGGTATTCTGCCACAGTTTGTTCTATATAAAGTACATACCGAAGTGCTGCTTAAAAGTGTGTTTATGGACTACCTGTGCTAAAATTTGCAGCAATTGCAAAAAAGGTAGAATGCATCAATTCTGGATGGATGAAATCTATGGGTAGGTACTATATGCAAATTACTACAGCTACGTTTATTTCAAGGTCAGTTTTTTCAAATTTACCCCTCGCTTCCATGCGCTCAGGGAAAGACGGGAAGGGAAGGGCCAGGCCTGCAGGTGAATGAATTTGGGGGACAGAAGGAAAAGGGGCCACCTGACACCCCAAATTTAATTTACTTGCTGTAGCAGTGGAAGGGGGACAAATTCAAGGCAGACCTCCAATAATTAGATTCTGTACCTGGCAAATTATACAAATTTTTTCCATATATAGAATCTAATTATTGTGGGGTCATCTAAATGGGATAGTCTTATTTAAGTAAATATCACTCAGAAATATTTAGTTGAATGGTTCTGTGAAAATCTCTCATAACTATAGATTGAGGGTTTTGTTTAGGTTTTTTTTTTTTAAGTGCTAACCAATATTACATGCGCTGCTTGTTTCTCATGTGCTGTGTAGCATGGCAGAAAGCACGATTGTAGGGAACCTGTATCAGATCCTATTGCGTCTTTACTTTTAACATGTCAGGGACAGAGAGAAATTTAGGTACGTTAGTCACTTTCCTGTTGCTTGATTTGGAATTTCACTGAGCTTTGTTGATTCACCTCAGTGGAAGTCAATCTTCAATGCTCTTAAGACTTACTGAACAAAGCGTCTCTTCACTACATGTTAGCCTTGGGGCAGCAATAGAATGCCTTCTAGCATATTTTTCTGGATATTGTCAACTGTGGCTTGTATTCCCTCTGCTTTTTCTCGTTTTAGCCTGAGTCCCTGCAGCTTTTAAAAATAGCCTATGACCACATTCACCATTTTGCACAAATAAGTATAAGTGCTGTGGTCTCAGTGAAGTCAAAGATTTGAATGTTGTGAGATGATCAGAAGTCATTGTGAACCCCTAGGCTCCAGAATGAGTTCCTCCTTGTAAGTTTTGGAGAATCTAGCCACAAAAGTCATATAAGGTTTCAGTTTCCAGTAAGCCAGATTTGATACCTGTTATGCCTCAAGACTGAGTTGGTATTGCCTCCAGTGGTGTAGGTCTGGTGGGTTAGGACCCCTTGCTTACTTTCCAACTCATGAAAGCAGGCAGCTGGATACCTTGTATAAGGGTTGCTGTATTATTTTGAAACTTGGTGATTAGCAAATACGAGTGAAGTTTGTTGAAACTGACTCATGGTCCAGTGTATCTTCACTTTCTCATAATGCTCAAACTCATACTGCCCCAGTACATCATATTAGACTTTGACTGCCATCAAGAGACACAAAAAAAATTAAAACAATCTTTTATCCATGAGATCTCTTAGATCCTGCTTTTTAAAAAGCTTACAAACCTAGAGCTTTTGGAGACTTTGTTTGTTCAGGGATCTGTAGCTACCTATTTATACCACAGCATAAATGTAACATTAAAAATAGCCTATTTTTAAATAAATCTCACCTTCCCTGGTACCTTGAAATAGCTCTTACTGTTAACAATAATGTTTGCAACTTATTGTGCAACCTACATGAGAAAAATGGCATTGTGCATCTGTATATTGTTCTCATTTTCCAGTTCCTGGCTAGAGAATAATGAAGAAAGTGCAGTAAAGAAGCTGAAGAACAGCTTGCCACGTAGAAAAGAACTAGAGCGTTTAAAAAGTGAACTCTGTCATCAACTGCAGCTCTCTGATATCAGGTAATGCAATACAGGAGACCTAAATTCATGTGGTCCAAACAAGCATTTTTTGCAGTTTGGTAAAACCACATGATTACATTAAAAAAGTAGTACCATGAACTTATTCCATCACAATATCTTTGTTATGTGTACTTAAAAAAGTGGTATTTCTCTATTTTTTTTTCAGAACAGTTCTAAAGGATTTAAAAATTGCATTTACGTTTTACTCTATTAGTCGTAGTCTTACAAGGCAGGACCTGGGTATTGCTTAAAATAACCAGGTGCTTAGCTACTTTGCTTGCTAAGTTCACTTTCCTGACTTTAGGCTTAGTTTAGTTAATTAGCCTGGCAGTAAACACCTACAGCTTCTCTCTCAATTCTGTATCTTGCGCAACTTTTGACTTACTGACACCCTGTGAAGATGTTTAAAAGTGACCTTACCATCCAAAATAAGGGAAACAAGGTAACATAAAGCACAGAATAGAGCCTGTCTTAAAGTTGCTAAAATACTCTCTCTGATTTTTTTACTCCAAAATTATTTCTCAGAAAATACAACTCGTTTAAAACTGGAGAACAGAAATGTAGCTCTTCAGGATATAATATTTTAAAATTTGTTCTTAATGCAGTTATACAGTTTATTTAGAATATTTCTTGAGTTAAAACTTTATAGAGCCTTCTTGAACATTGACTTTAGATATGACCAAAAATAAGCTAATTATATATAATATAACTTATTAAAAATGTTCATATTTAGGAACCAAAACAAGCTAATTACATATGTAATTTATATTTTTATATATACAGTAATTTTCTTCCACAATTTATCAAAATATTGTAACTCTACACTGGCACATTTTAACCTTAAAATAACTTAGAAAGAAATAAAGTTCAGTTTAGACATCTCTCTTACTGGCAGTGTAATTATATTTGAAAGAGAAACTGCTATATGTGTCTGTTCAGGTCAATGCTAGAATATGCATAGTGTTAAAAGTAAGTAGGGACCAAGAATCTTGCAGTGTCTGAGAATGTGAAAGAATCCCGAGTTCTGCAATTCTAAGGGCCAAATCAGCCTTGATGTATAACATCAGACAAATTTAAGACACATCTGCATTCTGCTAGATAACGCTATAAGCATCTTGGCATGGCACTCCTTGTGCCCTTGATACCAAGGCTAGGTATAGACAGTCAAAAAGCCTGAGGCTGAATCAATTCATTCTTTGCAGGTTAGTCTAAGCTGCGCAGATTGAGCCAATTAGCAAATAGACATACATTCACTTTTGATTCAGGAAATGCAGCCACATGCCTGCAGTGGCTCAAGCCAAACGTCAGGGGCACTAGAGCACGCCTGCCAGCTACTGCCAAAGTGGAGGGAAGACAGAAGCCCTCCAAGGCTCTCACCCCATCCCTGCTGGAGCAGGTGGGGTGTAACCAGGCACCAGCCCAGGGCTAGCATGCTGGAGTGTGGGGGTTTAAAACCCTTCCCTGGCCACCACGGAAGCAGGAAGCAGGACGCAGTGCCTGCCAGGCTTCTGCCCCTCCCCCGCCACGCCATTCAAGAGGGGAGCAGTTGCTGCCAGGCTAAGGAGTGGGGTAGGGGGAAAAAGTAGTGGTATTGAATTCATAAAAGCTTGAACAAGAATAGTCCTTTCTCTGAAGCAAACATCTATTGAACACAGCACTTTGTAACCTCAGACGTACAACAGAACAACCAAAAACCTTCACCTGTTCTAAAATACAACTCAGTAAAACACAGAGAGCACTCACAACTTGGTCTAACTTAAAATGGAATGTAATAAACCAAAAAGACAAGAGACTTACATAAGTCTTACATAAACCTGAGGGCAGAGTGTCTCCTTACAGCCAGGGATTCCTTGCTTGGATATTCCAGTCTCCCACCTTTTACAGGTGCTGCTTTATAATGTAAATGTAGTTCTCTGATTTCTTTGGTCACACTAGCTCAAGCTGTCTGTGACCCTCTCCCGTTCCTCATCTCCAGCATATACATGTGATGATTGTGCCAGGTCTTTGCCAACACCTCCCACCTCTAAGTCTGGTCCTGCAGGGCTTGGAGCCACTGCTGAGCTGAGGAAAGGGGGATTAAAGTCCTCCCAGACCCCAGCCTAGGTTTGCCTGGGACGTGGGAGCATTCCCTATCTAGCAGTTGGGCCAAATAATTGGACTATGCACTGAGTATCTCAGTAAAGGGTCAAAGAAGGAAGTAGTCCTTCTCCTTGTGGAACAGAGTAACAGTAATGTGTAAGTGTGCCTATTTCAACTGTACAGTGAGAGTAGCCCTGTTGATGGGACCACCTGTAAATTAAATTATCTTTGCAGAATAAAAACTAGTGTTGCAGCAGTTGTCACAATCCTAATCTTACCTTCACCTGAGAAACCAGTAATTTTATAGATAACTAACTTGTATTTAGTACCCTTTTGCTTAGAGAGAAAATGCTCATTGCTTCTCAGAATGTTTTTTTTCTATCCATTACTTTTTATGTTTAATTGTTATATTTGGAGAGGTGTAGGGTTTTTGTATTTGCTTTTTCCCCTTTCATCTCTATCGCAGAGTTGGCACCTGCTTCAAGAGAAATTGTAAAAAAGTTGGCCAAATGGTTTATGTACAGTGTTTAATAGCATATTACTCAGACCGCTTTACACATTCCCCACAGGGATGTTTGCTACTTATTGCTCTTGAAGAAGGGTGAATTTAATATAAAATTATAGAAAAATACATCCGTCTGAAAGGGACCTTCAGGTCATCTAGTCCAACCCCCTGTCTAAGTATCCCAACCTCATGATTATTACCTGCATTTTTAGTGCCCAAATATGCCAAGAACGTAAATAATAAATAAATGAAATCTCTTTATAATACTGAGATTGAAATAATATTTTCAGTTTTATTTTGTTTAGATGGCAGAGAAGTTGGGATATTGCTCATCGTTGTAGCCAGCTGCACAGTTTAAGTCGTTTAGCTCACCAGAGACCAGAAGTTCTAATGAATGTTAAAGGTATGTTTCTTGTTACTTTTCTCTTTCGTATGTCAGTGCAATAATACAACCATGAATCTTAGACTTTACGCTTGTGACACACTAAAAAAAGTGCCAGAGCTACTTGAAATTATCAGTGATACACTGCAATTTTAAAAGTAGTTACTTTAAATACTCCTCCTTTTTAAATGACATTAGAATCAATTGATGTCTTACCTTTCAAATAACTTCAAGAGTTACTGGATAGATGGATGGAAGCATTAAACTTGCTTGTGTCAACTTTGGAGAGCAAATTCCATGCTACCATACTCTAAAAAACATGACAAATGCCACATGCATACTTTCATAGTTTCTAGGTCGGAAGGGACACGAGTAGATCATCTAGTCCGACCCCCTGCCATGGCAGGAAAGAGTACTGGGGTCAAATGACCCCAGCAAAGTGTAGATCTAGCCTCCTCTTAAAGACCCCCAGGGTAGGAGCCAGCACCAGTTCTCTTGGAAGTTGGTTCCAGATCCTAGCCGCCCTGACAGTGAAGTACCGCCTCCTGATATCTAGCCTAAATCTACCCTCTGCCAGCTTGTGACTGTTATTCCTGGTCACTCCTGGTAGTGCTCGGGGAACAGGGACTTCCCCAGTGCCTGCTGGTCCCCCCTGACTAGTTTGGAACAAGCCACTAGATCCCCCCTCAGCCTTCTCTTGTGGAGGCTGAACAGGTTCAGGTCCCGTAGCCTCTCCTCATAGGGCCTGCCGTGCTGCCCCCGATCATGCGAGTGGCCCTCCTCTGGACCCTCTCCATGCTGTCCACATCCCTCTTGAAGTGCAGTGCCCAGAACTGGATGCAGTACTCCAGCGGCGGCCTGACCAGTGCCGCATAGAGGGGGAGTATCACCTCCTTGGACCTGCTTGAGATGTATCTGCGGATGCATGACAAGGTGCGGTTGGCCTTCCTGGCCGCATCCCTGCACTGCCAGCCCATGTTCATCTTGGCATCAATAATGACTCCAAGATCCTTTTCTGCCTCTGTCCTGACAAGAAGGGAGTTTCCCAACCTGTAGGTATGGTGCTGGTTGTTCCTCCCCAGGTGCATCACTTTGCACTTGTCGGTGTTGAATCCCATCCTGTTTTCATCCACCCACCCTTGTAACCTGTCTAGGTCCGTTTACAACCTATTCCTCCCTTCTAGCGTGCCCACATCCCCCCACATCTTAATGTCATCAGCAAATTTGAACAGGGTGCTTTTTACCCCCTAGTCTAAGTCACTGATGAAGATGTTGAACACTGTGGGCCCGAGGACCAAGCCCTGCGGAACTCCACTGCCCACATCCCTCCAGGCCAAAAATGACCCATCCACTACCACTCTCTGGGTGTGGCCCTCCAGCCAGTTGGTGACCCAGTTGACTGTGTAGGTGTCGAGACCACAGCCCCCCAGTTTCTTAATGAGAACGGGGTGAGAGACAGTGTTGAAGGCCTTCCGAAAGTCCAGGAAGACTATGTCCACTGCTACCCCTGCATCTAAGGATTTGCCTAAACTGGACAAAAGTACTTTTACCAGAACCAGAGTTCCTAGCACAAGAACTCTAGGAAAAATCCCAGTTTTTCTTTGGGATAAGGAGACAAAAGGCACGGACTTACTGTAGTTGAAAAAAAATCTATTATGGTTTTGTCTGGCTGCTCTACCCCATGGTAAGCAGAAGTAAATCTTCAGTAATTTGCTGTTTTATTCAGGTTAAATGAATCGTGGTAGTTTTAAGGTATAATCAGATGTAACAAAACATTTCAAAAGCCTTTGAAATGTTCCACAAGTGGATAATACCTACTTAAAATAACTCATTTAAAGATTTAATTTTTCCATACTTGTGCATAGAGAGGGAGGCATAGTGAGTGAACACTCAGCTTTCTATGTGGCAGTCTAGTAAGAATAGAAGTTAGACTCCCTTTCCCCACCCTGCTTACCTCCTCTCCTACTCTCTAATTTCCTCTCCCCTCTTCCTCCCATGAAGGGGAGTGGAAAGCAAAGTGCATTCATTGTAGTCTCCTCTAGTGCCTAGGTTGGCACTAGAGCAGCATTTCTGAACCTGTGGGTTGTGATCCAAAAGTGGGTCGCAAAAATATGTGAAGAGGTCATGAACAAACTTTAAGAATGGATAAACAAACTTTAAAAACTGATTCCGCTTTAAAGGAGAAAATCATGGAAATGGTGGCTTTTCCCTTGCAGACAGTTCCAGTATTTGGCAATCGGGTGTATGCACCTTTGTACCAGTCAGTTCTTAACACAATCTTGATTATTTCTTCCCCATGTTTAGACTGAATTACCTAAGGGAGTAATTTTATTATTATCCTCCAGCATTTGTGTCCTTTGCTTTTGAAAGAACAAAGAAGGCTCTAATTTTAGGGTGTTTCTATTTATTAATATATCATGCAGAGCCTTGTGGGGAGTGGTGGTAAGCATGGTGGTTTGGGCAAGATTAACCATTTATTATTTGCATGAAATAAATTTACTCTAAGCTACTAATCCTCTCTCAGTGTACATTATCTTCCATGTGCAGTGTTTAAAAGTGACATTGTCCAAAAAAGTCTATAAAATAAAATTCTGTATAGCTAAATTGCAAATCTACCTAAAGCATAGGGAGAGTGAGAGAGTAAATAATAAATTATGTTTTTTATTGGGGGCAAATATCCTTGAGTTTGAGCTTTCAGAATGATCTGGTCTTTACATGGTGAGAATTAACACGCAAATTATTACTCATTTTTGGTCATCCTGAAAAGATTTTTTTTGTTTTGAAATGCAGTAATCTAATTAAGGCTTGAATAGTTGAAGTGCAGTAAAAAATAGTTGTGGAAAGTGACTAAAGAACTTTTTCATCATTTTAGGATACACAGTTATATTTACAGATTGTTCAGGTCTGAGTGCAACAGGCCACATAATGCTTGGGACCATGGATGTTCATCACCACTGGACCAAAGTAAGAACATTTCATAGTAAAGAATAATCATTTTGTATTTATGTCACCCTGTATACATGAATTTGTTTTCATCTTTGTGTAACCAAAAAATCTTAAATAACTGCT